TTTGTGTTCATGCTCATCAGAATTCATTCTTTTACAGATCATTAAGAAAGACACTGGCTTTTGGAGGGACTTTGGCTTTGGAATGACCTGCCAATACAGATCCGATTTCATCAATATAGGTAACCGCCCTCTGAAGCAGCTGTTGACTGACATGAATTAAATTCATTTATACGGTATTCATTTATACGGCTGGTCAAATGAATGTAAATAAGAGCAGCTGATGGTAGCACAGGTAGTTTAGAAATAAAGGACAAAGTTGTTAATGTATATAGAATTTGATCTATAGCCAAATGTAGATATCCAGCCTGAGGTCATTTTGAATGTAAAAAGCACTTGAAACACTTACGCAGAGGTAGTAGAAGTAATATAGCATGAGTCAGCTAATGAGAACACAACAGGTCCCACCTGTGGGAATCAAGCGGTTCCCATGACTTAACCGTTCTCCTGTCTAGACATGTGTAACATCACGTGATACAACAATAAGAGCTGATATAGATACTGATGTTTGGTAGAGTATATGCACTTCAGGAAACACATGAACATAGATATCTCAGCAGACTGAAGCCAAAAATCCATACGCTCCATTAAGGAAGTCAATACTTAATTTATACGCACAATTAAACAAATACATAAGCTACATCATGTTATACACTGCTGTTTGGCATCAGTAAGATTTTTTTATGTTTTCAAAGAGGTCTCTTATGCTCACTGAGGCTGCATTTATTTGATCAAAAATACAATACAATTTTAAATAACTTCTATTTTTAATATGTTTTACAATGCAACTTGTTCATAGTTCTTTTTCAGCATTTTTTAGTCTTCAGTGTCACGTGATCCTTCAGAAATCATTCTGATATGCTGATTTGCTGCTCAAGAAACATTTATTATTATTATCAATGTTGAAAACAGTTGTGCTGCTCCATATTTTTCAGGATTTTACTCTTTACTATCACTTTTGATCAATTTAATGAATCCTTGCTAAATAAAACTATGAATTAATTTATTTAATAAAAACCATCTTACTGACCTAAACATTTTTTATTAGTAGTGTAAATAGGAAATACAAAATGAACAAATATCCAAATTCCTGAACAAATCTACAGGAACAGCTGTTTGTCCTGAGGGAAGTTCAAGCTTCCCTTTAACAACAACAGGAGATGTGTGTAAACAAAGTGTTTATTCAAAATGTTCTTTCTGCGGATACATTATTATTGTTGCAGCTGGCCACATTAACAACACAGTGGTCAAATTTGAAATGTGCTGTTGTTGCCTTAAATAAATAGGAGCTATTTTTGCATGATCTGGTGCTAGATCCACAAAACATTCTCACCCCAAAGAATTAGAAATCTGTCATCATTTACTTCAGTTCTTTCTTTTCCGGAAAACAAAAGAAGATATTTTGAAGAAATGGAGCGTAGCAATAGTTCTGGCAGGCCATGCTAGTCAAGCTCGCATCAGCTGACACTCAGCTGATCCACGTCTACCTACAGGATCACGACACCATTCATAATTCCCTTCATACGGTCCCGTCAGTCATTATTCAGCAGCTATTGCTTCGCTCAGGAACTAATCACCCCGACATGTTTATATTTATATTCATATAATTTATATTATATATAAATATCTTAAATATATAAACAACATATTTCTCTTAAATATGTATGTGCATGTGTGTGTATTTATATATACAGTACATAATAAATATATACAGTACACACATATATTACATAAAAACCTCAACTATTTTGGATGAGATGTATCATGATTAATCATTTGACCGCACTATTAAACATGAAGCCCAGTATTATGTTAATGAGAAAAGTTTTGAAGAATTGAATCTTTTTATTGAATCACAGCACAGAACCAGTTTGAATGATTTGTTCATGAATCAGACTGATCTGTGATTTTGACTCTGAATTATTTAATTTTTTTTCAGTTTTATTGGTTTAGAAGTTCTGGAATATAGTATAAAAATAAGTACACTGCCATCCAAATGTTTTTGAAATAATTCTGACTTTTTTAAATGCTTTCCAAAGAAGCCTCTTGTGCTTACCAAGTCTCCATTTATTTGATTAAAAAATACATAATGACATAATGTTACAAAATATTTATATTTCAAATAAATGCTGCACATTGAACTTTTTATTCATCAAAAAGTCCTGAAAAAATGTATCAGGGCGTCCACAAAAATATTAAGCAGCACAAACGGCTTCAGCATTGATACTAATAAGAATCATTATTAATAATTGAGCACCAATAATAATTGACAATAACTGAGAACCAAATCAGCATATTATATTGATTTCAGAAGGATCATGTGACACTGAAAACTGGAGTCATGATGCTGAAAATTCAACTTAGTGTCAAATACATTTTAAAACATTAAAATTGAAAACAGTTATTCTGAATTGTAATAATATATCACATTTTTACTCTTTTTACTGTATCTTTGATCAAACAAATTCAGCCTCCGTGAGCATAAGAGAATTCTTAAAAAAAAAAAATCATAATTATTCCCAAATGTTTGATTGTAATCGCATGGAAAAGAGCATCCTGTGCATTCTTCAGAAGTTCTCCTTTAATGTTTCACAGAGGAAAGAAAGTCATTTGGTTTGGCATGACACTAGAGCGAGTAAATGATGACAGAGTTCATTTATGTTATGCATGAGAGGGGAGGTGAAGAAATTATACAGTACTGCCTTCAGTGAAGAGCCGGTTTTAGTCAAACTGAAGCACGCACAAATGCAAACCCAAACACTGAGATAACCAAGAGACGCCACAGGAGCAGAGCAGCAGACAGACATTCCCTCAAGACAAGATAGTCATGTGTGGTGCGCAGTAAAGGACCTTCAAGTCTCTTTGGAGGGATACAGTATGATCCACAGTATTACAGAGATGCAGCACATGATGAGCCTGTAATGCACTTCACTGATAAACTGCTGTCGTTCAGAAAGCGTTCTGTACTATACTAACTGCTACAAGTGACATTTAGACGAGACTTTGTTTCAGCTTTTTTGTTGTTTTAGAATACAAGAGAGAAAATGCCTTATTGCTGTTAATGTATAACGTGGGTATGTCATTTCTTAATTGTGAATCGATGAGCGAGAAGATGACTGAGGGACTTGATGCATGTATCTAGACAACTGTGTTGAGAGTTTATGTGACGAGTGGTTCAAAGAACTGCAATTCAGTTTATTACCCTTGAATTATTAATGTTGTGGCGCTACCATGTGGTGCCATTTGTCAAAATGGTCCATGACTTGATGGTTTTATAGGGGGACTTCGTTATATACTCATAACACAGCACATCAAAGTTATAATTGGTTATAAAGGAAAATCACATTCTAATTTTGATTTTAAAGAGACAAAGAATTGTAATATTTGAGTGACATTTTATATAACAAAGAATTGTGTTTGAAAAGAGTATCACGAGTGCTGAAGATTAAGAGTATGTGTAAGAGGGTTTATTTAAGTGACCCTTCCAAATACTTTTATTTGTGCACAATTTGTAATCTTCACATTTAGATTAATTTTATTGAAGTTCAGGCAGAATACAAGCCTGTCAGGTATATAAGACCTCCTAGTGCTGTGTAGAATAGTTTAATATAATTATTTATTGGGGGACATTACTTTTTTTTTTTTTTTTTTTTTTTTTTACTTCACCCCCAAACCTCAAAGCTTGTATGTTTATGAATTCTTTAAATATTTTGTTTTGGAACGAATTCTCTCTGATTTATTGCAAATGAAAAGTCATTTAGATTTTTTTTTTTGGTTTTTTTTTTGAGGACAAAGCAGAATAAAACGAAGGTGAAAAAACACTGATTTTCATACGTCATTATTTACTAAAAACACCATCGACAACGAATGAAAAAGATTTGTCCAGACTTTACCACTAGATGGCAGTATTGCATTATTAATTAAAATCGTCCTGCTCTCGGCACTACTTTGTACCTATTTGGCTTGCCATGATGACATGTCTGTGTCAAATACTGTGATTTTTGAACATTTTTAACAATACACTTATTATTTTAATTTAATATTTTTTTTACTGTTTTCATATTACATTGTTTGTAAAGAGCACCACTTGAACACAAAAGAACACTGTGAAGAACACTAAAGGGCTCAACAAACTAAAGATATATTTAAATAGTCATGATGAAGTTGCACAATTTTTATAGGACACTCAAATTGTGTTATGAATGACATTTGAGTATCTATGATTAGCATTTTTTTATTAAAAACTATATGTTCTAAATAGAAAACATTACTTTTCCTATAAAACACTGCTTTTATTAATTTCTTGTATATTTCTGTTATTAAATTATTGCATTATTAATTTTTACATACTTTAAACATTGTAAATATTAGATCTTACCACTCACTATTTATATTTCTCACAAGCTTCTGTCTCTAATTAATATTAAAAACGTTTGTTAAAATAAACTACTATATATATATATATATTAGTGCTGTCAAATGATTAATCGTGATTAATCGCATACAAAATAAAAGTTTTTGTTTATATAATGTATGTATGTGTACTGTGTATATTTATTATGTATGTATAAATGCACACACATGCATGTATATATATTTAAGAAAAATGTGTTATGTTTATGTATTAAATATATTTATGTCTAATATAAAATATATGAATATAAATATAGACATATAAATACATGTAAATATTTTCAAAATATATACTGTATGTGTGTGTATTTATATATACATAATAAATATACACAGAACACAGACATATGTTATGCAAACAAAAACTTTATTTTGGATGCGAGCAATCGCGATTAATCGTTTGACAGCACTAACATATATGTGTGTGTGTGTTTGAAATGTATTTTTTTCTCAGGTAGTCATTGCCTAGTCATGATATAGATGTAATTGTATAGGCGTATGGGGGCGTGGCTTAGACCGAGAGACGAGCGAGCGATTGGCTGAGATGAGCCTCCGCTGTTGTACGTCACGACAGCCAGCTGAAGCTCATTAGTGGAGTTCAAAGACACCGCCGGCTCGTCGTCGCTTATTCTCGACCTCATGCGTTGAAATGGTGATCTTCTCTGAGGGACTACAACCAAACGGCTCGCTCTGCCTCCTCTCCGGCTGATTATTAGTCGCCGTTGCGCAGTCAATGTTATTAAGAGTGTTTGCGCTCGCGTTAGTGCGCGTCGCTGCAGATCATTTCTCTCTCAGAGGACCACTCTCTCAGTCTGTTTACACTGAGGACGCCTTCAGTTGAGCCTTTATCTCCATAACCGACCCACAGAAGGACACTGACACCATGTTTGAAACCAGAGGAATCCCCTTTATATTGCTTGACATTGCGTGCCTAATACTCGGTAAGCATTATTTGAAGCAGTGTTGCTTGTGTTTCCTGAACTGATATGGATATATTGTCTAGAGTCTTATAGCGAAGTGAGAATAATTTAAAACGTTGGCGCTAATATGTGTTGTACAGATAAGATCATGTAAGATATTAATATATAAATATAGTAAAGACGTGTCAGTTGTTTTAGATGCATGTTGCCATGCACGTTGTTTAAATGCACGGGATTCAACATCGCAACAAGGGTACTGACACCTTAACCACATACTACACCCATAGTGTGCGTCATAGCGCGTGCTGAGTCTACATGCCTTCATCTACATGCCTGATCAAAGTTTCCGTAATAACAGGGCGTTACCTATTATGCAGAGAGTCTATTATGCATAACAATGACTCGGGGTATAAGGGAATGCACGTGAAACATCACTGAAAATCATTAAAAAAATCCCACGAGAAACCCCACAGCTTTTGTTTTAGACAGCAGCCCATGAATTTTACTCTAATTAAAAAAATATATATATATATATTAGTAGGTGGGGGTACTTATTTGACCATTTTTAACCCAGTAAATATTTTATTTAATAAGTATAATGTCCGTTTCTGTATAACAACATACATTAACATCTTAGCTTACAAAAGTGTCTATTAGAAAGATTTATTGAACACACCTGCTGTGACAACATGCCCCAACAGCAGATCTTGTTGTCACACTATATGGGGTATGTTGTCACAATGCAACCTGTCAGACTGATAAAAGGTAACATTTAAAATGATCATATAATTGTTTTAACTAACAAATATTATAGTCAGTTATATGAATTTCTGACATATACATATGACAACTTTCTTGGGGCATTTCTTGGGGCCCAATGTGAAAACTAGCCCCACTCTCCATTATAATGCATAATAATGAGATTTATTTCTATGAAGTTATTATTATTATTTCAAATCCTTATCCAAAAATTCACAAATGACTGAACAAGTCTTGGAAATTCTTTGGTCAAAATATGTGGGAACCGTGTGACTTAATTAACGATTATATGCTGAATCTTAGTTATTCCCCAATAATCCCTGCTCAGTCCTACAGCATTTATGATGGAAGTTTTGATCTGTATTTATCTTGGAATTTTCCTTGCACTGGGGGAACATTTTTAATGTTTTTACACGGGGAACAAACAGATCTGACTTTCCACAAAGTAACCATGAGTCACTTTCATATGATGGCTATTTGTTCTTGTTCTTTGATAAATGTGCCAAGATGGAGGAATGATTTAGGAGAATTTTAGCTTTTTGGAAGTATTTTAAGTGTAATGAAGTATAATATCCCAACTAGAGTTTTTATATTGGTAGCATTGGCAAACGCATACTGTTCATTTCTCTCATATTGAGAAGTGGCTCACACTTGCCTTCCTTGATTTTCATTTGCAAATGCATATTTACATACCACCGGTACCACTTAAACACAGACTATGAGAATACACAGTAGACACTGTTCCATACTGACGGTTTGAGCCCAAAGGCTTTCCTAATTATGTTTGTTTTGGCATTTGAATTACAACGGGGCTTAATTGGAGCAAAGAGCAATACAGCTTTAAGCTCAATCCAGCTCTTCCTTCTTTCAAGCTTGAGCAGCCAGCTTTATCTGTACTTGTGCGTATGTCACATGCACTTAGCATCACTAACAGACCCCATAGTCTTTTCCTGGGCGAGGAGCCTCAGGCTCTATGAATGAGGGTTTGTGTTGTTTTCCCATAATACTTTGCAACAGCAGCAACAATAGGCTGAGGCTATAGAGGATTCAAAGTTTACATACGAGCTCTCATGTTAAACTTTACACCGTCAGGTCACATTAGTGCAGTATGGGATAGATAAAGACACATTAGTGTCAGCTAAAATTTAAGAGGCTGTATGTGACGAAAGCAATGTGTCTGGATTGAGTGCACTAAGAAAGGATGACAATAAGTGTAATTAAGTGTTTGAAGCATGATTAATTTAGCCCTTGATTTTGGGAGATTGATGATGAAATGGTGCTAATTTCCTTAGTCCTATCAGTTAATTCATTCAAAAATGCATTAAAAATAGATCATTCATTAATAGAATGACTGTCTGAATACTTAGGACCATGTGATATTTCAGTTTTTCTTTTTTAATAAATCTGCAAAAATGTCAACAATTCTGTGTTTTTCTGTCAATATGGGGTGCTGTGTGTACATTAATGAGGAAAAAAATTTACTTAAATGATTTTAGCAAATGGCTGCAATATAACAAAGAGTGAAAAATTGAAAGGGGTCTGAATACTTTCCGTACCCACTGTAGGTCAGGGTAATGCAACTGTTTTGATATCATAATTTACACAAAAAAAAGCATAATTAATAATAATGTAATCTTCTTTTTAGGAAGGTTTTAACAAAACTGCTTCACTGCTTTTTAATATTAGAAAAGGCTTTGTTCACCAAAATCACTGTCATGTGGTGCGACCATGTAGAAACTAAACAGGAAATGACATCATGGCCGTGGCTCATAAATGTGTCAAGGTCAATAAATTCATTAAAATATAATTTAGGTTAGCTCAGGATGCAAAATGTCATTTGGTGCGACTCAAAGTAATATTTATGATTTAATTCATGATATTAGATTTAAAGAAAATTAAATGTTTCTTAACTTTGTTTTTGTATAACTTTTAATATTATGTAACTTTTTACACTATTACATTTTACCTGATGATTACACCAAGTTATTAAATGTAAACTTATTTTTCAAAACCACATAAAACCAACATGAACGTACATTTCTAAGAACTTGATATGTTTTAAACTTCACTTTTTTTTTTCTCCCGTATATATTCATTATTGTGGACACTGTTATATGTCATTGACCTTTTGTTAAACTGTCATCAGACACCGTCGACTTTACATATGGCACTTTAAAATAACAGATATTCAAAGTCACAGTCTATGGCAGCACCTGTCAGGTGTCCTGTATAATCGTTGTCATTATAAATGCACAGCCGTTATGTAATCTTTATCTCTTAGGTGGCAGCAGCCATTCATCAACACTGGAAACCAGCCCTTGCATTTGATTGGTTGGTGGACCCTTTATCAAACTGTTAACCCTTCTTCACCTACAGCTGGCCTCCCGCTTGCAGCGTTTAACCTGGGTAAAATCAAACCGTATCAGCGGGGCTTTTTCTGTAATGATGAGAGCATCAGCTATCCCTTCCACTCCAGCACAGTCACCTCCACTGTGCTCTACACAATGGGCTTCACACTTCCAATTTGTAGTGTAAGTAATCCCAGATAGCAACCACACACAACATGCCCAGCGTCTTCCCTCACAAGTCTGTAGTGCGCTCAAGCTTGTTTTAAAGGATATTTGGCTATTCATCTTTAGAGTTTAATGGTCTGTTGCAGTCACAGAAAGTGGTCCTTCATTTTGAATTAACAAACAGACAAATAGACACCCGAAGAGCAGCTGTTTCAACGACTCCTGACCACTGAACAGGTGCAAAATGCAATTTCAATAGAGCTTTATTAGGTAGATTGAAAGCAGCTGTTCAAGTCACTTCATCTGGAATCGTATTAGGCCATCTAACATTGTGTTTACGCTGGAAGAGACCACTGTTGCCCAAGGTGTCTACGCTGGAAGTGCTGGCGCTGCAAGCATCTATGCAACAGTAAAATTAAATTAAATTCCTTGTATGGGTAATTTTGTAGTAGTAAAATAATATTGCACTTAAAGGGATAGTTCACCCAAAAATGAAAATTGTCATTGTTTTCTCACCCTTATGTTGTTCCAAACCTATAAGACTTTGGTTAATTTTTGAAACATAAATTAAGATATTTTTTATTAAAACCTAAAAGGTTTCTGTCCCTCTATTGAAAGTCCAGGTAACCAAAACTTCTAAAAAGGTCATAAAGGTAACGTAAAAAAAATCCATATGAATTGAGTGGTTAAATCCAAGGCTTAGCAAATCTCAAATTGAATATTCATTTTCATTCTGTACATTTGTAATGTTATGATGGCTAAATTCATATGTAGTGTTGAAACGATTTTATTTTCATTTAGAATTTTTTTTTTATTATATATATATATATATATATATATATATATATATATCTGGTCAATATTGGTTATCGGCCATAACATGAAAGTAATACGTGTATCTGCCCTAATTTTTACATAAATTGTCCCATTTAATTGAAAGCTACAAGTTACATGATGGTTTTTAAATATTTTCCAAGAAATTAGCTTCTGTGTAATAAATGAGGCCCAATGTTACCAGAAATAACATTAAACACAAGCAGAATGAATTTCTTGAAAATTTGTAAAAGCTGTTATGCCACTATATATATATACACAGTTAAAGGGGTCATATGATGCGATTTAAATTTTTCCTTTCTCTTTGGAGTGTTACAAGCTGTTCGTGCATAAAGAAGATCTGTAAAGTTGCAAAGACTAAAGTCTCAAATCCAAAGAGATATTCTTTATAAAAGTTAAGAGTTAACCATGCCTACCTAAAACGGCTCGTTCTAACACGTCCCCACATGTCTACGTCACTGTGGGAAGATTTGCATAACGCCGCCCAAATGTTCACGCAAAGAAAGAAGGCGTAACTTTTATTCTCGCTGTAGTATTGTTGCCGTCGCCATGTCGTGAAGAGCTGTGTTTCGTTGTGAAAGCGAAACTTTGTTTGATCTTCCAAAAGAGGACTATATCCGCTTCGTCATGCCTAGAGGTGATCTGTGCTGGTCGCTGAGGAAATACATAAACTTCGTGCTGTGGATCGCCGGATCGGCTTTCACCGTGGACGAAGCAGAGTCCAGCCCGGGGCCGTCACATGTGGTTGCCGCTCCTTCGTCGAATCCGCCGGCCGGGCCGTACTCAAGCCCGCGCCTCTGCTCACTCAAGCCCGCGCCTCTGCTCACTCAAGCCCGCGCCTCTGCTCACTCAAGCCCGCGCCTCTGCTCACTCAAGCCCGCGCCTCTGCTCACTCAAGCCCGCGCCTCAGCTCACGCTAGGCCGCCGTGTGTTTCGTTGTGAAAGTATTCTGCCAATCACAACGCACTGGATAGCTGGCCAATCAGAGCACACCTCGCTTTTTTTCAGACCGATGAGCTTTGTAAAAATCGACGCGTTTCAAAAAGGCGGGGCATAGAGGAGAAACAATGTACAGTATGTGGGGAAATTTTTTTTTATTTTTTTTTTTAACCGCATAAACTCATTTCATTACACCAAATACACAAAATAATGTTCTTTTTAGCAGCATCATATTACTCCTTTAAAAACAAAGGATGACAGGCCAGAAACTAAAGATCAATCTGTCTTGATCAGAAGTCTGTGGCACGTCAAAAATAGAAACCGTCTTTTAACTGAAGGTGTGACAAAAGACACTTCCATTGTTGCATATTCTGATGCACTACTTGTGTTTGGTGACACAGTGTTGGGATAGAAACATTTCGGCAGCTCATTTGCATCCAAGCAATGTTTTTGCTCCTTTGTGTATAGGGATACTCTGGGCATGTTGCTTTTCATTAACTTCTTAGCCAAGGATGTCCACCAAGTACAAGAAATAGCCTTAAAGTAGCTGTTTTAGATTAGCTCAGATTTGAGGTATTTTGGGCTGGTATTATTTGTATTTTGGGCTGGTATGATATGTATTTAAACGCACCCTCTTTCAATCTGCTCCTGCTGCTCTTTTTTTTTTTTTTAGAAGCAACTGCAAATTGGGCAAAGTTTGTGGTTCACATCAAGAGGGGGTTCTTAGGTTTACCAACCAAACCACAGAAACTTCCTGAACAGGTTTAGGAAGGGTCACCGTTTGGTCACATCTCAAGTACCCATGTTCAAGTGCCATGCTTACTTCATAGTTAACTACATAAATATTTGTATCAAAACTGTTTGAAGACAAAATTCGGCAAAAAAAAAAAAAAGGAAGACGTATCTAGGATATTGCGATCCGTCTGGAATGTAATAAGAGTGGATAGTTGATATCTTCTGGAGCACCACAGATGGCATACTTTTTCCTCTAAAACATCTCCAAAAGTTTCAGCAATCTGTTCCATGAATAACCCTGTTTGACTTCTATCTCATAACCCACAGGCTTGAGAAAACCTCAAACTTCCCATATTGCAAGATTTGGGGTTGACCTCTATGTAAGCAACCCTTAGCTTCCACTTGCCTGCCAAACTAGTCCAGGCAGCATGCAAGTGATGATCGAAACGACCGATCCGTGCGGCGTTAACGTTACACCGATGTTCCTAATGACTCTGAAATTCCATACGTGCAGCCAGCACATCACAGACCATGACAATGCAGCTTTCACCGGAGATCGAGAGAAGATCCGGTGAAATTTTAGGAGACTTTGGTTGGCGCTGGGTAACCTGCACTGATCCACATGACTAATATCAGCTCTTAGCCGATTGAGCGGTTCATGGACTTTACACGCACACAAACATCTCAGCAGACCATATTCACTGCATGTTGGGTAAATGTTTCAATCCCTACCACATGCTTTGCTTCCATGCTTGAGTAACCTTCATGTCCCCAACAGGCTTGTAAAGTTTTTGCTGGTGGTGTCTAACCACAGTTACCCTTCTTGCACCTTTTTGATGTTTATCATAACCTGTTTATCTAACTGTGGTGGAGCAGCATTTAAGAGCTCTTTTATAACATGATGTGAAAAAAAACATGGAAAATGCATTTTTTTTTATAACCTCTAAAGCCTTGTTCACACTGACCAAAGTGTTCAGCAAATGTGGCGACTAGCAATGGGAGATAGTAGAGTTTCCTGAAAAGTTGTGAGTGTTTACAGTGTTCTATATGATACAGTGATATAATAAAATGACGCAAAACCGGATGGAAAAAGTTATGGAAAACTGTATCGGCATAACATTGCTGTCAGTTGTGAACAGGGCTTGAAAGACAAAGAGAAAAGTGAGGATTTCGCACCCTCTGCTATATGTAAATGTTCAGAGGAGATCTACTCGTCATCGTTAGCGTGCTGTTGAATCATTTGAGCTTTATTTGACACGTTCCACTTCTCATGTCTACCTCGAAACCACTGGAGAATGAAAACAAAGCAATGAAGCAAATAAAGAATTTAACAAAATTCAGCCCCGGCTGCCACACCACCTACTTGCTAACCCTTTGTTCATTATGTGTTAAAGTAGAAAACTGATTGTCTGTCTAACTCACAGCTTTTCATACGAGCACCTCCCAGAGGAGAACAACCTTTGCTTGAATTGGGGAGAATAGGGTATGAGGCACTACGTTAACCTGTTTTTCTTTTTTCTCTCACTGCTTTTTTGCTAGTTGGACTCCCATTTGCAATACTCACTATACAACACAAATCATTCAAACGAGGATTTTTCTGTAACGATGACTCTATCAACTACCCATATAAAGAAGACACCATTTCCTATCAGTTATTAGGAGGAGTAATGATTCCTATCACTATGCTTACTGTAAGTGCCCGTCTGTTACACTAGCAGCTCACACCCCTTCCTGTATCTCTCTCCTCTTCTCACTATGCCTGTAATGTTTGTTGCATGCTTCTCTGGTCAGTTCGTCTGTTCTCATGCCAGCTTGAGAAACAGGACTTTGAGATCTAACCACAGTTCAAAGGAGATACGGTAGATAGATGCTTAAAGGGATAGAGCGCCTGTTGAAATCTTGGAATACAGAGTCATGACTATTTTTATGGTACATTTTGTATCTTGCCAGTTTCTATGTACTTTTAGTGTTGGAAAAGATGAGCATTAACATTCCTGAAAATGTCTCCACTTGTGTATCTTAGAAAACAAGGAAGAAAAGAAGTCAAATGCTTTGAAATGACATGCAAGTTAAAATGTAAATGTTTTTTTTAGGTGAACAATTCCTTAAAAATTACCCGTACACTAAAAAAATTATTTGAACAGCAGTTAACTCTTGTAACAGACCTTTACAGGTTTAAGAGACAAGGCAACCAATGGAGTGGAAAGGATGTCTACTGGTCTTCTATATTTTCCCATGAAAGCCCATATACCACAGTCTTGTGGTGAGACGTTTAGACTAGAGTAGGAGTCTCTCTCTGTGGTTACATACCATAACTGTTTCTTTAAAACAGGCTTTTTTTTGTCTTGTGTGATAGCATATACAATTCAGCAATGTCCTTTCAAGGGTATTCGAAACATCAGTTTGTTTAAAAATGTTTAAAATGAGCTTACCCATTATGTATAACATTTCCTATATATACTGTGTGTATTTATACACAGACATACACATCTATATAACCTCACAGTCACCCATGTGAGCTCAAAGCACATATACCTCTGCCTAAATGTTATTAAAACATTAGATTTAGGTTACTGCTAATGTATATTTTAAAACTGCAGCATTTCAACCTGGATATTTTAGTAAAGCAAAATTAAACAGAATTGTATCAACTTATATGTTATATATACATTACCCAAGCTCTATACCTGATCATTGAGCAAGAAGGTAATACAGTATTGCAGTCACTAGACTGTAGTCATTGTAGACACCATATTATGACATTTGATATGGAAGTACAGTGCATTCAGTATGTTGTACTGGTCTTGAGAAGAACAACAGCAACAAAAAACTCAAGTAAAACTTGTAATACTAACATGGGTAACTGTGATGTTAAGGACATTTCAGGGAAATCCTTGTGATGGCTGCATTGTCAAGTGCTTTTACTGTTTGATCTTGTCTTCTATTCTTGTACGTGTGGACATCCTTATAAGATTCAGAAACAATCCTAAAATATTATCATCAAAACATGACTGACTGTAGCAAATGTTTGGACCATCTCATCAGAATAAAGACAATTAATGTTTTTTTGCTTCCTCTTCCATCACAGATGATCATAGGGGAGTGCCTTTCAGTCTATCTAAACTGCGTCAAATCAAAGTCTTTCTGCAACAGTTATGTGGCCTGTATCTATAAGGCCATTGGCACCTTCTTGTTTGGTGCCGCGATGAGCCAATCACTCACTGACATTGCCAAGTATTCCATCGGCCGGCTGAGGCCACACTTCCTGGATGTGTGCAGACCGGACTGGATGCAGATCAACTGCACAGGAGGGGCTTACATTGAGGACTTTGTCTGCACTGGGGATTCAACCAAGGTCAATGAGGGAAGGTAGGTATCACCAAAGACTTTAGAATACCCAAGATGTGTCACTTGTATAGTTTTGAATAGGGGACAAATGTAACGCTTAATATGGCCGCTCTATCGCAGGAAGCCCTGCCTTCTGAATGAAAGAGCCAATCGCTAATCTGTAAAGTCAGCGCGTCACTGCAGCTGCTGTTAGAGAAGTCCCGCTATTTGAGCAAAATAAACAACATTTATGATACAGCTGTTGTCAGATTTCATTGGTGATTTCAAATATGAAATTTAATCGTAAGTTTGGCGAACAGTTTTGGAGAATTTGATGTTTCCCCATTCAAAGAGATAAGAGCTGCACTTGCATGCCTGACATGGCCGCCGAGTGACATGACTTGCCTTAAAGGGACTTTGGTAACACTCCCTTATCGGTAACTAGTAATTACTCGTTACCTTACAGCGGTAGTTCACACAAAAATGAAAATTCTGTCATTAATTACTCACCCTCATGTTGTTCCAAACCTGTAAGACCTTCGTTCATCTTCGTAATGCAAATTAAGATATTTTTGAAGAAATCCGGGAGCTTTACCACGTTCAAGTCCCAGAAACGCTGTAAGGACATAGTTAAAATAGTCCAATGGTTCAACAGTAATTTTATGAATCTACAAGAGAAGAAATGGTTGAATAAAGCCGTTTTTGTATTCTTTGCGCACACAAAATATTCTCATAGCATCATAAAATTACTGTTGAACCACTGTCGTCACATGGACTATTTTAATGATGTCTTTACTACCTTTCTGGAACTTGAACGTGGCAGTTGCATTGCTGTGTATGCAGGATCAGAAAGCTCTCAGATTTAATCAAAAATATCTTAATTTGTGTTCTGAAAATGAACAAAGGTCTTGTGCATTTGGAACAACATGAGAGTGAGTAATTAATGACAGAATTTTCATTTTTGAGTGAACTATCCCTTTAACGTGGGGTGCTCCTGGGGATCACTTCCAAAACACCTGCCTGGAAGTTTCTAGTCATCCTGAAGACCTTGTTTAGTTGGTTCAGGTGTGTTTAGGAAATAAACTCTACAGGAAGGTTGCAGGATCCAATTTTACACCTGAAGAACCAACTGTCCTGCAGAATTTAGCTCTAGCCCTAAATCAAGGTCTTCAGGGTCACTCAAAACTTCTAGGTAGGTGTGGCGTCAAACGTTGCAGGTGCTCAAGGAGCAGAATTGGACACCCCTGCACTAATGGGTGTCCTGCTCTGGATGGAAGAGTTGCAAGAAAGGTTTTTTCCTTGGGGTGGAATTAGGAATCCCTCAAATTTGTTCTTTGATGTGGTTCCATCCTGGAAACTTCCCAGCCACTCTAGCCTGCATCTGCATTCCTTATTAGACAAGCTTGTCCCTCAAAATAACTTTTCCTCTGAACCTTTTCAGATAGATGGGTCTGACAAGGAATTAGATGTAGTTCTAAGGATTTACATGAAGGTGTCCAATTAGCAGAACCAGTTCAGATGTGCCATGAGTACTTTATATCTGGCATTGCACTGAAAAAAAAACTCCCTCATTAACATTGAAATGAAGGGTGTTTCCAGTGTCTTTACCATGAACTCTTTTTGGGGTCAGTTGTCCACATTGTTGGCCACCCAAGCTCTTGGTGGAAATCTGTGGTTCACACGCTGTAGTGGTCTCTAATCATGCAGTTAGCCGTTTCAGAGCACGCAAGTTTTCTGTTTGGGTTCTTGGGCCAGACTCAAGGCCAGCAGTATCCCAGGCCCTCTCAGAATGCTCTCATTTAACATAGGTGTGGTTCTCATCTCTCTCTCTCTCTCTCTCTCTCTCTCTCTCAGAAGAGCACCTCTTTTGTGGTGGTCCAGTGTTTGCCTAGGAGACGATGCCATTTATAGAGCAAATAAAGAGCAGTAGAGGGTCTGAGCCCAGAATAACCCAATCACCTTTCACACGAGAGTGTTCTCCTCAGGAAAATAGTCTTCTTGATAGGCAAGGAAGTGTATTTGCACGTTAAAAGGGTGAGAGTTATCCAGGTCTAAGTATAAATGATAAAAAAATCTGAAGCAGGTCTTCAGTTCTTTGAGTCCGTGTTGCCCTTTCGTTCAGTTTTATCCTCAGGCACTCTCAGAATATGCAGTCTGCAATGCGTTATTTTAGCATCTCCACCTCGCAGATAATTCACTTTAGCCCTGCTTCGTCTCTCGTCTCATGACCGGGTCTTTAATTCAATCAGCAAACAAAAACATGAAGATCTGGCCTCATTATAACTTGCACACTGCCCAGATCTGGTTAAACTCTACTTTTAAGTAGATCGATATGAAAGGAGCATGTTCGCAGTGGTTGAGTTTATGGCAGTTGTGCAGCTTGAATGATTAAAGTTTTATTTGGAATCAGTCAATAGGCGGATGCTCCTAGTCGACAAGTGGCCTAAGCTTAAGTAAACAGGAACACACAAAAGCCTGCCGGATAGCCAGATCACCCTCCCTCGCTGACGCTTTCCACGCTTCCCCTGCCCCGACCCCCGCCGGTCAGATCGTGTCTCCCCCGAGCATGCCATTATCACCCGGAAAAGGGTGTGTATGTGCTTTTTAAAGAGTGTTTAATGGGAGCAAATGGGACAATGCAAACCTTCGCCTAGCGAGGGGTTCAGTGTTAGGATTCCATCCCACCAATTTGTCAAAGCAATTCTTAGTTTGTGTTTACAGATTAGCAAAACAAATGTCAGCTTTAACTAAGGCTTCATAGTGTTGCATAAGCACATGTCTACATGTAGTAGGTAATTAGAAACAGCCCTTCTGTGCTGCCCACATTGATTCTTAGATTGTTTTTGTTGCAGACTCTCATTTTACTCGGGACACTCCTCATTTTCCATGTACTGCATGCTGTTCCTGGCGGTAAGTGTCTTTTATTTATGTTTAATCCATTTGTTAAGAGGGTAGTCCACCAGAAATATAGTATTGTCATCATTTTACTTGCCCTCATGTGATTCCAAACCTGTGTGACTTGCTTTCCTCTGTGGAACATAAAAGAGGATTACTTGGAACAATGTCCCAGGAACTTGTTTCCCCCAGACCTGTTACTGTCTGCTTTTTCATCGCGATCTAAAGTATCGTGAAGATTAGGCAAATAGTCTGGTGACATAGGACTGTGCTGGACTGCTCCTCCCAGTCCAGGGACGTTTCTCAATACCAAGTAGGGCTGTCAAATTTTTTTTCCGAATATTCGTCGAATTTAAAATAAAAATCCACATTCGAATGCAAGAATGTTGCATTCGAATTTTAGGTGTGCGTTGAGGCGGCAGCCTTATCAGTGATGCCTAATCAGCCTTATTCAGTCACCCTAACTGAAATTATGCATTTTAAATTAGAATATAATTAGAATTTTGATTATTTAAGTGAAAAATTCAAATTAATTTTTTCAGCCCTAATACCAAGTATGCAAATTTCGGACTTGTGTCCTTGGTAGTTCGGACTTTGGGAGTTCGACTTCGGAGTCATAGTTCGTGAACTCCCGCGGATGGGACGACGCAAGTCCAGTAATTCTGCGAACAGCAGCGTACTTGATAACATCAGTAAGCGCGCCTTGCCTACTGAAATTTTCTTCACTGTATTTACAACAAGACGAAATATATCAAACACCACTGGCTCTTTTCGTTTTCATTTTAACATATAGCCGCAGAAATGTAGTTCAGGGAATGTACATACATTACAATGAAACAAAAAGTCTCCGAAACCGGCGAAGCACATTTCCAAATAGGCGCTGTCTTTATAAATAAACTGCAGATTTGAGTTTTAAACTACATTCTCGGCTGAAATACTCTTAAAACTATTCGTGACACAATAACATTAATATTTAGAAAATTATGCAAATATATGGTGGTTGAAATACAATGCTGCGTGAACTCAACCAATCAGCATGTTCAGCGCCCAAGTCCCGCCCCCAATAGTTCCGGATCTTTAAAAAAAAAAGTACTAGCTCTCCAGCAGAGACTTTCTGAGGGGCAAATTTTTACCCGGAACTCTATTTAGAATCTGGTTCCTGCGTTGCAACCAGGCTTTACTTGTGACACTCCAAACCCATATGACGGTCTGATGTTTATGGAATAATAGAATCAGTATTATTTTAGTATTTTTATTTTAAATACTATATAGTGTTCATCAGGGTTATCTTTAAAATTATTTAAGTTATGTTAATGTTTTCCCATTTTCTTTAAGATTAACTTGAAGTACTAAAATTGAAATGAAAAGTAACAAGAACTATCTATATAAATATAGACAGGCATTTAAACAAGTATTTCTCAATAGCTTACAATATATTTAATTTGTGTTTTTATTAATATTTTCATTTTTTATTTCAGTTTCAGTCATTGGTATTTCAACGCAAGTTAAAAGCAAGTTAATTTAAATTAAAAACAATTTTAAGTTTGTTAAAAAAAAAAGTACTAGCTCTCCAGCAGAGACTTTCTGAGGGGCAAATTTTTACCCGGAACTCTATTTAGAATCTGGTTCCTGCATTGCAACCAGGCTTTACTTGTGACACTCCAAACCATATGACGGTCTGATGTTTATGGAATAATAGAATCAGTATTATTTTAGTATTTTTATTTTAAATACTATATAGTGTTCATCAGGGTTATCTTTAAAATTAAAATCATATTTAAGTTATGTTAATGTTTTCCCATTTTCTTTAAGATTAACTTGAAGTACTAAAATTGAAATGAAAAGTAACAAGAACTATCTATATAAATATAGACAGGCATTTAAACAAGTATTTATCAATAGCTTACAATATATTTAATTTGTGTTTTTATTAATATTTTTATTTCAGTTTCAGTCATTGGTATTTCAACGCAAGTTAAAAGCAAGTTAATTTAAATTAAAAACAATTTTAAGTTTGTTTACAGCACTGAATAGAATTGATCAATGTCTAGAGTGCTTAAATTTAGAACTAAAAATAATTGCATCAGTTTGCAATTCTTCAGCTAAACTCTCAATTTTATTTAAACTCAAAACAAGATCAAAATATTTTTAACTTAATTTTCTGGAACTTTTTTTTGTCAGCTCCAGTCCCTTTTAATACACATTTAATTTGGTTCCACAGAAGAAATAAATAGGGGTTTGAGTGACTTATATTTTGTTGTACTGTATAAGCACTAAACACTGACATTTCAGGCTCTGCCACTGTGACTGTAAACCTCAATCATATCACCTCCTCTCACGCCCTACAGGTTTTCTGTGTGTCGGATTTCTTCAAAAAGAAAGTCGAACCACAGAAGGAGGCAGAGATCCCACACACCACCTTACAAGAGACACCTACGAATGGAAATCATTATGAAAACCCAAACTAAGCTATGATGAGCCTCTGTGGATGGGAAGGGGTTTCAGCGTGCACCCACTATGAGGGCAGACCACTAGGGTGGAAACCTGTGAATGTAACCTTGCTTTCTATGTTCTCCATGGACTCTGTCCCACGTTGCCTTGGCTGAACTGCTTCTGCTGCTACCACAGCTTCCTCTGTATCTCCAAAAACTAATGTGTACCTCTATTAAGCCACAAAAGAAAAACTTTTTTTTATCTGTATGAAAACAAGAATCACTATACAGTCTTTTTTTTTATTAAAATTGTTAAAATTATGTACAATGTTGCGCTTTTATTATGGAAACAAAAACCCATTATGCTCTATGCTCGTTGACAAACACAAATAAAATGATTGTTTCATGTAAATTCTGTCCTTCACTGTTTTCATGCAAAATGTAAAAAAAAAAGTAGGGAAAAAAAAAAAGGCAAAATGAAAACTATAAC